ACAAAGTAACAATAGCAAAAACGAACGAAAGAAGAGAAGAGATGAGGGATTCTTAATTTGGTCCCACGTTCAATAAACGTGTCTTTGTACAGAATGCGCTCACAATGAATTTACATAGACTAACTAAAACTAAACGCACGCAACTTAAAGTTAAGACTGACGCATCCCACGATGTGCTCGGTGCTCCGATGTGCACACGACGGAAGTTCTCTTGGTAATGAGTGTCCGTACTACTCAAGGTTATATATATATTTTGGTCGTCAGTGATCAGGTACAGTTGACAACTATTTTTTCAAACTTCTAAAATTTTATTTTTGTGTATACGTCGTAATTGATAATGATCTCTAAGCCGCTCGAGATTAATCTAATGTTGATAACTTTTTTCTCAAACACCTTTTTCAAAACACGGCGAAAATATAATTGATAATGAATCTGCGTATCTCTCAAGGTTAATCTAATGTTTTTCGGTCGTCAGTAATCCGGAACAGTTGATAACTTTTTTTAGTATTTTGTAAAACAGTTTTTCTACTATACCAATCAATAATTTAATAGTTTTTACATTTCTATCGCAAAGTTACACTTTCGTGAATAGGTTACAATGTTAAATGTAATAATTTATTAATTTTCTATCTGCTAAAACTAAATTCACATTTTTAGGGTATTAATTTTTAAGTTATAACTGCATCGATTTATATTGAATAGAAATTTATGTAGAGAGAAGTTATGTAGTCAAAATTTATATTAAGCAGTGATTGTCGCTTTAGAATATCACGCAACATAAAAATTTTCCCTCGTTTATTCTTTCAAAGAACAAGAAATATATATATTATGTAATTGTCTTTTCCGTTCGAAATAATTCCAAGCAAAATAATTCTGAACGAAATAATTTAATTATTATAAATGAATTAGTCAAACTACGAAATAATGTTTGGGAATTCAATCACTGATTCAATTGTTACAAGTAAATAATTAAAATTGTTAAATAATACACAAAAATATCATCGAAATGCATTATTTTACAGTTTGAACAATTCATTTAAAACAATTGAATTATTTTATTTCTACAATGTTTCTAGACATTATTTAATAATTTTCACGAGCTCATATTACAATTAAATAATTAAATTAATTATTTCATTCAATAATTCAAAGTCATTTCTCTTAAGTATTTATTGTTCAAGATTGTTATAAATTAACTGTTAAAAATTTTAAATAACACTTAGAAACATTACGGAAGGGAATTTATTGTTTAACTGTTACAAATAAATTATTAGAAATATTAGATAATGTTACAATTAGAATATTCAGAAATAACATTTAAAAATTCACTTCGAATGTTAAATCGATGTGCACACGATGAAATTTCAACTTATAATGACCTCTTTCGCTGTTCAATCTTCAGGTAAAGTCAGTGATGCACAACAGGTAGTAGGCTTTGTCAATACTTTCGAAAACACTTTTTCTATGGCAGTAGTCAATAACTTTACAATTTTTAAGTTTCATTTGGTTAAAATTTTACAATTTCTATTTTTTTTGTTTTACAACCCCCATTAATTTAAGGCAACAATAACGATTGCTTTTAACTTATAATTCTGTTGTACATGTACTAAATGCTAACTTATAGATCTGTGACATATAATACGAATTTATGTAGATAGTAAATTATATTACAGTCAAAAATTAAGTTTTTAAAATTGCCGTGCAAATAAGAAAGCGTTCACGTTTGAGTCGATAACTTTCGATGTGTAGATGTGACGTTATTCCACAGGCTGAAATATCTACGAAAGACATCATTGCCCTTGAGATTATTACATGCCGGAGATTATCAGCATCGCCGATTCGTGCTGCGTCATTGGTCGCCTTTCATTATTTGCCGAACGACGCGACGGTTTCGACGTTAATTAAATCCGCCAGCTATCACTAATGACACAATGTCGCCAGGATTACAGTGTCTGATCGAGGATGAACGTCACCCGACGCTGTTCACTGACGTCAATGATTTCTTTCCTTATTTTCTGCTTGCGAACTTTGTTTATCCGTACTGAGTTACACTCAACATCCGATTGAACTGAACAGTTGCTGGTCGAATCTGTACCCTTGTTATACAGGATGTTAATTTTCGATGATAATTCGAACATGTAAACTATGCTATTGAGATCACGAAAAAGTGATATAGGATTGTATAGGATTTAAATAGTTTCGAGGCGT